CTCAGAAGAGAAGATGATTCTTCAAAAACCTTCTGCAAAGGTACTCAGCGCTAACAGAACAGGCTATAGATGTGCTCCTGGAGACTTTTATACATTTCAGCTCTGAGTTTCACAACTCCTCATTACATCATTTTGGTACGGAATGAAAGGAAACTGAATTACAAGTGACCTACGTGATTTGCTTAAGCCTAAGAGGAAGTTAGCAGCAATGTCAGCACTGAACTCCCAGCCACTTGCTCCCTGCTGTGCTCTACCCACGTAACCATCCCTAGGTTCGGATTTGCCAAATGCAGCCAGTGTCTGACTCTGCAATCTGTTTTGTTAAAAAAAAACCCCAAAACCCAACAAAAACAAAACAAGAAAACCCAACCAAACCAAAACAAAACCCAAACCCGTGACTAATGTCAAAATAAGCTTCTCCTCGACGCAAAAATGTGTTGAAGTACCAGGGACTACAGGAATGTTTTCTATTAACAATCAGTAGCATTGTCTATCTGGGAAGCTATTTTGTCCTTTAACATTGCTTCAGCTGCTGTTTATTAGCACTGAACTGATCTATCTGCCCGGGATCTTGAGTAGTTATTTACTCCAGTGTAAAGGGAATATAAAATACACTACCCTTTGTTTTGCACTGTTGTAAGAACCTGTCTCAATTGCATTACTTGCTGCTGCAGTCATGCAGCAATTCTGCTTTCCACACGTATGAGATTTTTAAATTGGGTAAAATAAGAGCGGTGTGCCATGAGCATCCGAGATCTCACAGAAATGTGGAAAATGTCCAAATTCCTCTTCTATTTCCTTGTCAAGCACAGTTTATGAGGTAAGATATGAAGCCCCTTCTTGTTTCACTGGAGGCAGATGAGCCTGAGAAGCCTGCAAGATATCGCCTGGGTACAAACCAGTCCTTCCCATCTCTGCCTGTAACTGCAAGACAATTTGAGGAGCAAGGGCCACAATTTTTTATTAATACCGATTAGCACATTTCAGGAACTGCATAGGAAACAGTTGAGTTAATCCACTTAAATCAATCCACAGTGGCCTGAGTTTGACTGATTCCTAGGAGGTTTCTCACATTTTTTTGAAAGAATGAAGCAACTACTGTGATGAAATTCCTCCGACACATCGAGTCATTATCTCACTCCCTGTCAGACACACATGGTGTCAAGGGAATGGACACTGACATTTTCTTCGGGAACAATTACGGTTTCGTTAGTTATGCATTTGTAACCTTTTGTCTGCAGAAATTTCCTTCGTGCAAACTCCCAGGCTCCATCCATCCCCAGTGGTGACAGTCAGGAGGCCTGAGCTGTAGCTCGATCTCCAGCAACCAAAGTGTAAAACCAGATGCGAGAGTACCACTTAGGAGAGCTAAAATGTACTGTGTGTCAAAGAGAAAGACTTCGCACCTTTTTCACCACTGTAATGCAGTCACGTCCAGAATGTATGGAATACGGCCACTGCATGTTTACATGTCTATGCTTCTCAATATGATTTTACACTAAACTATGCTAGCATAAAGTAATTATTACAGCAAAAAATTAATCAGACTGTCTAATGGCATAAAGTAATTATTACAGCAAAAAATTAATCAGACTATCTAATGAGCTAATGAATATAGACCCATTTTTTTAAGAACCAAAGGGACTTTGAAGGAGGATACGGTCTATGAATATGTTGAATGATTAATGATTGGGTAATGACTTTTGATGAAAAACATACCTATTTAAAACTGAATTCCTGTTTAACATGTATAGAAAATGCATTGCAAGGCCTTCAAAATACTACATGAGGCTTCTATCAACTGGAAATACATAGTACTATAAAAAAAATAGAAACATGGTCCTTACACAAAATATTGAGCTGAAGTTAATTTATCTTGTTGATTTAGCATTAGCTTTAAATCTTAAGTAATGTTGTTTCTTCAAATAGAATTATACATTTCAGTTATTTCTTTCAAAATATAGATGCCACAGTGTTACCTAGAGTGATGATTTCATTCCTTAAATTTGGATTTCAACATATTCCAAATAATCCATAGCAAGTTATTCTTTGTCTGCCTTCTAATGGCCTCTTTTTCGTATCATGATTTATTATATGATATAACCACACATAACTGTAGCTAGTTTGGGAATGGGATAGTCCCTGAGAAAAATAAGCACGCTGCTACATTTGAAAACCAAGAACGTTGAATTAGGATAATATTGAGCCTTCTTTGGGAGAGAACTTACAGGTCTGCAAGATTTTTTGCAGTCTTAGTCCAGGCCCACCTTGGCCTCTCATCCGCCTCCTTGGGGCTGCTAATGCTCAAGACCAGCACGCTAAATCTGGTGCTGCACTCCTGTACGTCACAGCAGATCTTTTACTTCTCCTGCGCCAGTTATGTAAGTTCAATCAAATTAGACTGCAAAAGGATAGATTGCAGATTTCAGTTTAACATATTGCTTGAAGACCACAGCGTTCATGAGCTGAAGAACCTGGTTTCTCAGGGACCAGCTCCAAGCCCACTGAAGACCATGGGAGCTCTCCACTAATTTAGTAGCCTTTGAATTGGCTCCTATAATTTACACAGCTTTGTGCTGAAATAACCACCAGTGCACCACTGCATAGTAAACTTGTAGTCTGCCTATTGCTTTGATTTAAACATTGAAATATTTACACTAAAACATGTTAGATTATTAATTATAATTGACAAGAATACAGTGTTAAAGGTTAAAACATCCCAGTGTATTATGACTCTATTTGCTTCTATATTATGAAAATATTGAAGGTAGTGGTATTTTCTTTGGGAGGGTGAGAGGCATCTGCTAACATGAAGTATTACTTTGTATTGGTAGCAGGACAGTGACAGCCCCATAAAAACGTAGGCATCGGAGAAGATATGATGGCCCTTAATCATTCCTGGATGGTAAGATGTTTTATATCGCACAGCTGCATCGGTGGAAGAGATGTTTGTCTAAAATCATTTTACTACGATGCGAATAGTTCCTGGACTTTGCATAGCAGTCTAATCCTCATCACTATGTGCTACATCAAATTTACTATAGATGCTTTGGATCCACAGAATTCAAAGATCTGTTAAAATCAGGGATTTTTTTCCCCTCCGTCATTAAAAAAAAAACAAAAGAAAGAAAAAAAAATCTCGTAGTTTCAAACTGTAAGCATAAGCTGCATGAAAACTTATCAGTGTTTGCCGATTTGGTCCCCTGCTTACACGCCCATGCACTCCCCTCCCTTTTCAGCATTTCCTCCTGCACTCTCGCAGGAAAGCCTGGTCTCCTCCAAGTCCAACTGTCCCATTGAAAGATTCCAAGTGAGACAGAAGAGTATTCTCAGCGCAGCCCCAGCCTCCCACTCACTAATTGGAGGCCATTCCCCATTTTGTGGAGCCTTGATGCTCCCCCATGGAGAACTCGGGACTGTGGGTTCCAGTCTTGGACTGTGGTGACAGCAGGAGAGTAAACAGAGCTGATAGAATTTGACAGGTCTATTCTTTTCTTAAAATCATTCAGTCTAAAAGATTTTCTTTTACATAATCCAAAGTGTTTTCTCATGAAGTAGGACAAATACTGCTCTGCATTTATGGTGCAGTTCAGATTTTATGCATTTTTATCAGAATTTGCCACTATTAAATGAGGTCAAATAATTCATTTTAAAGCTGCATTAAAGAAATCACAAGTGGGTTAAAAACTTTAGAGAACTGGGATCTTAGAGTTCAAAATGTTTAACAGAGAATTGAAAGTAGTTTTTAAAGGCAGCTGACTTCTGAATAAAAGAAGAAACTCTTACAATTCCTTTACTGGCAGTAAGATAAATCCTATCTCTCTCCCCAAAACGAGTGATTTTTCTGCAACTATCAGTTAAAGAATAGTTCTCTCCATAAAAAGGGTCTTTGTTAAGGTGGCATGCTCTTCAGGGCACTGAAGATACAGACTTATATTTAAGTGCCCAGAAGTCTCTCTCATACACAGCCTTCACTAAATACTGAATAATTTCTTTACAAATATTTACATAGCCAACAAAAATGCCTAGAGCAAACAGTGCTTTAATAAACAGCAAAACAGAGTTCCACAAACCTTTTTCCACAGTGGCTTCAGAGAGTATAACAAATCACTTGTTGAGCTGCAAGAGGCTGCAGTGCAGTGTTTGCATTTTGAATAGAGAGGCTGACAGAAGAATACCTGCGGCAAACCACTTTTACCCATAGAAATGGGTGAAAACACCCTCAGGCTGGCAGGAAGACGATAGTCTCTCGCTCCTCATTTTAAAACAAGCATTTTTTTTATTTTTTAATTTTTTTTAACTGTGAGAACTGGGTGGTATTCTGCTATTCTGTATTTCTTGGAACTTTGCATCATGTGACAAGATGTAACCTAACTTAACCCAGTGCACTGTAATTCACGCAGAACTATCCCGTGACTTCTAACAACACTTTTAACCGATAAATAGATGCGTAGTGGTATAGGTAAATTATCAAAGGCTGCTGACAAATTCAGGTTTGTTCCGACCGATATTAGAAGACCTTTGACATGTCAGTGCTTTGGAGTAGTACATAAGTACTTGTTTTAATGAAAAGCTCTTCTAGTGTCTATTGCACTTGATTTAGTCTCTCCATGACTGCCTCATAACAATGCTAAATGCAGTCTGAAAGGGAACTTTTAAATAATTATTATTTAACAAGAATATCCTTCTCTGGCAAATTTCATACAGTAGAGAGTTTACTGGAAGGTCAACCCAGGACTTTAAAGGTGTATTTATCAAACAGTTTAGTATCAAAATACTTTAAACAGGAACGCTTCTAGATAAGTAATGCATTGTAACCGGTCACCAGCTTAGGAATCTAATTTAGAGTGGAGAAATAATGCAGTTAACTTTTTCAAAAAACAATAAAAAAGTTGATTTCTATATGCTAAGGGTTTTTTTTAGGAACTAACGAGGAAACAACATCAGTTAGCAGGCTGTGACAGTGCAGTGCGTATTTTTGAAATCGATAAATGCCTCACCTGTACTCCTGTGAAGGGTGGTGGGTTTGCCCTGAATTCCTAAGGATTCCTGACATTATGGACGGGATATCACTTTCTATCATCTCCTTGGGAAAGACAAGAAAGCAGAAAGAAGCGGGTCAGGCAGGAGTAGCTATCCAGCACTTCAGCAGCGGCCAGGAGACAACAAAATCCCAACTGAAACCCAGCACTACAGGAAAGTAAAGCCCAACTTACACTACCTTCACCTCCAGGTGCACTGGTTTCATTTGGACCAGGCAATGCAGTAAAATGTTTTACGGGGGCAAAAAAACCCCCACCAAACCCACCCGAAAAGCTCAGAATGGGAACCTTGCCCCTGATAGAGGGAGCATCTATGGACTGCGGGCACGGCGGGGCAGTTGGGATGCCGGGAGGCTGTCGGTACCGGAGCACCGGAGTCAGCCGGGGAACGCTCCCGACTCGGGGCTGCTCTCAAACTCCCGTAAAAGCACCCGCGGAGCATTTAGGAAAAGCAAGCTGCGGTGCCGTGCAATGGTCTAAGTGCGCCCAGGCTGCCCCAGGGAAGAGGGGAGCCCGGGGGAACCGATCCCCGGTGCCCGCGGAGCTGCCCGAGGGCGCTCCCGAGCCCTTCCC